TAAATTTTTTTTTAACTTTACAATGATGACGATAAGAAGTAAAATTGATAATAATAAAAAATAGTTTATATGTTAATTAATATGTCAATTAATGTTTAATTATTAAGTAAAAAAAGTGTAAAGTCTTATAAAATTATAAAAACATTTGAAATTTTAAAAACAAATCATACAATGGATACATCCATCGAAAACTATACTTGATTCTTGAAATTAATAATTTCATAATTTTAACTTAACATAATTATAATTCATAGTGTTATTCGAAGTATGAAAAATCCATGTGACTTGGTGCTTTCTTGAAGTATAATAGAAATTGTTTATTATTGTAAAGTAAAGTAATTTAATCTCTTTGTAGAACTAGAAAATATTTCCAAATTTTTATAAAAACCATATTACTTTTATATTCAGCATGACTTACTTTAATCTTTTTTTCGAATTTGACGACGCATTAGAGTTGCAATCAAATTTTTATTTTATTCTTACTAAATGAAAACAAAAAAAAAATTATAATAGATTTTTTTAACCAACATGTTTACACGAATTTGAATTTGGTGCTCATTGCAAACGCTACATAGCACTGTAAAAACTACTACTATACTATTCTACAAAGTGCGCATGTGTCGCCGCTACACTTTCTACCGTCCTACGATAGCTTTTACTTTGATCGATACCGGTCACTCGCCGCTAACACGCCTGACGCCACGCTGTAAAGAGCTACGTATAGCAGCCACAACTGTCGCATCGCCAGCAAGCAAGCAAGCAGCAAGAGTGTTTAGTGAAATTCATAGTGTAACACGTAGTGACAATCATAGTGTGAATCACATGTGTGTGAAGAGCTACGTATAACAGTCACAACTGCCGCATCGCCAGCAAGCAAGCAGCAAGAGTGTTTAGTGAAACTCATAGTGTAACACGTAGTGACAATTACAGTGTGAATCATGAGTCTCAATGAGCAATCCGATGTCATTTTAGACAATCGAACCCCATTAGAAGAATTAAGGAGCTTACGACAGACGATTAATTTTGATAACGAAAGAGAGCTATTTAATCTCTTCGAAAAAATTAATTCATCAATCAGCGAACTAAACGGCGAACCGTCTCTACTACAGGAATTCCGGTTTCAGCCCGAAGAAATGAACTCGCTTCTTTTGGAGGCCGTTAAACACGTGGCCGTGAAAAACAACGACACAAGTGAAATCGCACATGGATTCATCGATTTTGTGGTTAATAGCGGATACGAGTACAAGCCTGCCGACGACGTCGAGGCTGGCGAGCCTCTGCTACGTGCCACGCCGATACTTTACTTGGCAACACAAGATTACCGCACTGCCTACCCGCTAACTGCGAACATCAGGACGATGGTGATTAAACTTTTCAAAATATACAACAATTTCCACGTGAACTACACCGACGAGGACGGACTGACGCACTTTCACGCGGCCTGCATGGCCAGGTGCGAGCACGTCATCGAGAAATTTCTCGAGCTTGGCCAGGACCCCAACGTGCGCGTGGGCGACACGGGCGACACACCGCTGATCATGGTTATTACCGACCACTCGCTCGCCGAGTTGTTGCTGCGACGTGGCGCCGATCCGAATCTCGCCAATGCATGGGGGCAGGCGCCTCTGCACTTCCTCAGCGCCCTCGAGGAAGACGACGACTGGCCGAAGGCGTTGTTCGAGCTCAGCCACGACAAGTATCGGCCGCTGCAGGTGGACATCCAGAATAAATCTGGCGATGTACCGCTACTGTATTCTCTGAAGCGGGGTCGCAAAAAATTGACCGAGATCCTGCTGAGGAGAGGCGCCAATCCGAATTTGGCCAACCAAAACGGAATGACACCTCTTCACTGCATTTGCACTCACTCGGAAGATGTCGACTTGTTGAAGATGTATTACGACATCAACGAAGAATTGCATCAAACGGTGCATACCAACGCCAAAGACATGCTGGGCTGGACACCGTTATACCTGGCTGCGTACCACGATATGCGACAAATGGTCAAATTTTTACTGACAGCAGGAGCCGATCCCAGTATAGCCTGCGAACAAGCAAAGACGCCTCTGCACGTTGTTTGCGACAATTATCGCGACGACCCTAGCCTGGCGAATATCTTATTGGAGTTCAGCCAACAGCGATTTAAGCCGCTGCAGATCAATACTATGGATCAATTTGGCAACACACCGCTGCATCTGGCCATGTCCCACAACAACAAAAACTTGGTCAAGGTTCTGCTGAGACACGGCGCCAGACCCAATATAATCAATAAAGCGGGAAGGACGCCTTTGCACAAGCTCTTGGATCGTCGAGAATGCGACGACGAATTGCTCAAGTTATTTTTCGAAATCAACGAGGCCAATAAGCAGCCCGTGCGCATCGATGCTCGAGACGATAATAGGATCACACCGTTGCACCTGGCAATGAAGCACGGTAACAGATACGCGATCGATTTGCTGATGAGAAAGAGCGCTCAAGGGAAGGAATCTGCTACTGTTTCGTCTCGGATTCGCGAGAACACCGAAGACGACGACGACGAGAGTAATTTAGCTCCGGCGCGAAAACTCAGGAGATTGGATCCGAATTTAGCCAACGCCAATCGAACGACTTTTCTGCACGTTTACTGCAAGAACAATTGTTATCAACAGTTGGTCGAGCTACTTCTCAAGCAACTACTTGATATCAACGCCCAGGACGAGTTGTATAACACACCATTGCACTGGGCCCTGTTCGGCAAAAAATATAACAAACTACTTATCGAATTGCTGCTAAGGAGGGGCGCCGATCGGAATGCGGCTAATATCCAAGGACAGAGGCCTCTTCACTTCATTTGCAAGAGAACGGATAATGATGATATTCATGATTTGATGGAGGTATTCTTCGAGATCAACGGAGAAGTAGAGGTCGACGCCAGAGACAATCAAGACCTAACACCCCTTCAATTGGCTGTGGCTAATTTCAGACCCGATATGGTCGATATACTCCTGGATCATGGTGCCGATCTGTCCAAATTCGTTTTTCCAGATGCGAGTAACTTCGCTGAGAGATTTAAAAATTGTAAATATGAGTTCGGATTGGAACTTGCTTCTGGGGCTCTATCCTGTGTCGAGCGCTTAGAGAAGAGGGGCTACGAAACTAAGAGAAGTGACGCTTTGACGATCATGAGATTATTCAAGAAGTACAAATTGTTTGCGAAGTCAGGAGATTTGAGCGAACGTTTTAAAAAGAGAAAATTCAAGTTCGCAACGAAAAAGTTAAGGATAAATTCGAACATGTCGCTCGACGAACTAATCCAGGCACAACCCGGGGAATCGGGAAATTTAGTCACATATACAGAATTATTCAAATTTTGGCGTGGGGCGAAGAGCCAATATAATGTGATCACTGCACGCGTATGCGAGAATATGTCTAGAAATTTTTTCTGGCGCTGGGCAATGAATTCATTATTAAAGGAGATGCCGATTCAAATATCGAAAAGTCTGCCAAAGGAGATCTGTGTATTTATTCTCGAACCACTAAAGAACAAAGAATTATATAATGTTTGCTTGTACTTTGTATCACCAAAAAACAAAAATGCCGATTTAAATGTCAAGGAGTCTGCCGGAGGAGATGTGTGTAATGATTCTCGAATCACTAAATAACAATGAATTATTTAATGTTTGCTTGCACTTTGTATCACCACAAAACAAAAATATTTCAAAAAATTAATCAATTAAACTCCGTAATAAATGGATTATGTTTACCAACAATAAATAATAATTTAAACCCATTTCTAAAAGATCTTTTTTTCTTTTCCTTATCTTTCGAAATCTGTGCTCGAATATATTTATGAATCATTTCATCACATCAAAAAATTTTGAAAATTATTCTTTTCAAATTAAAAAAGAAATTTAAAGAACTTTAATTACGTTTTGAATATTATTTTAATTAATTTTCGTTCATTTTTTTTTTTCAATATTTTTTTTATTTGTGATAATTACTTGAATGTCATTGTCTTGAATGTTATTATATAACATTACAATTATTTTAATATGAATTATCGATATTTACATTGAATTTAATAAAGTTCTTGGAGAGAATTCTAAGAAATGTAAATTAAATTGTGTGTTTCGTAATTAACACTCAAATATAGTTTTCATATGAATTAACTTATAATATGTAAAATATATAATAAGTAAATAGTGAAACAAATTCTCTTAAAATTTGTTTATTTTTACTAATACGCCTATTGCACACTTACTACAAGCACACTATGCTCCATTGGTTTCTTTACCAAACATCCAAGTCTAGCTCCAATATATGCATCCTTCAACTTATGTTTCTAGAAAGCCTAGATACAAAGTGTTGCATTAGGATCAAAGTAATTGGCATACATTTTTTTTATCAACAGCATGCAATAGTATCAAGTTCACTCGATAAATAATGACATTTTTTAAACAAACCTTAAAGAGTTCACACAAATCATATTTTCCTGTTGTAAAATTTATCCTTTCAGCTTCTAACTGTCCAGTTGGCCAGGTTGTCTAACTTCTGTCAAGTTGCTGTAGATCGATAAAGTTTGATATCACTTTTCAGCTCTAATAATAAAATTAGCTTTGATATTTCTATACGTATTTATTTAATCGCACATAACCTGACACATGACATATTCATTATTATTTGTATTAACGCGTGTATCTTTGTGACCATTTCAAAGAGTTTCAAATTCTTTATCAAGTTCATTGATAAAATTCTCACTTGAAATGTTTCTGTTACATGCCGATCCCTCAAAATACATCTGAATTATCTTAAACACAATTAGCTTTGCTAGCAGATGAAAGTAAGATAATCAGATTAAATTATATCTGGAAATTTCGTGGTTCGGGGACCGTCAGATTTTGTTTCGCTGCTGCTTTTGGCATTGCTGGTGTTGCCCCCGTTTAAGGCATCACGCGATGTTTTGCCGCGCATAAGCTGGCGCTCTTCGCATATCGCATAGACACTGTTTTTCAAACATAACTGTTTGATGCTGTTCTATTTTTTAAAGTTAGCAGCACACATCAGTTTGCATAACGTGCCGACGTCCCAGCAGTTCAGTATACGGGCTGCCTGCTCAAACGTACCTATAAAGAGTCGGTTCAGTAGACGTTACGACGCCAGAGCGTGAACACTTGAACAGTGGAAGATCGCATCGACCGCAGAAAGTGATTTTCGTGAAAAAAAAAAAAAAACAATTACAAACGATTGTGTGTTGTGCGAGTGAGTGTGAAAAAGATGTCCTCGTCCGACGATTCTGATCAAGATGATCAATATGACTTTTCAAATGAACTGAAGAGCATACGTAAATCGATCGATTGGGAAGTGGAAAAAGAGCGACGTCTTCTCTTCGATCGTTTTCGATTCTTGATTAGACAGTGGAAGGGCCAACTTCCAAATCTTCGAGACATCTTTCGGGCCGAAGAAATTGATTGGATTCTCTCGGAGTCTGTGAAATCTGTGGGACACTTTAATTGCAAGAAAGAGCTAACTCCACTCGTCCAGTTTGTGGTCAAATGCGGCTACAAGGACAAGCCTCAAGCTGATGAAGACGGCAAGCCATCGCCGCGTCGCACTACACCAATCCATCATGCGGCTAGACGCCAGTACTACTATTGGTATGATAACATCAGTAACCTCTTCAAAATATACGCCAGATTCGATGTGAACTATACCGACGAAGAAGGATTCACACATTTTCATGTGGCCTGCAAGTATGACTGCGATGACGTCGTCAAGAAATTTCTTAAGCTCGGCCAGGATCCTAATCTCGTCGCGCCAAAAAAAGGTGATTCTCCGCTACACTTGGCTCTAGTTACTGGGAGTATGAAGGTTGTCAAATTATTGCTGAAGCGCGGCGCCAACCCTAATTTAAAGAACAAGAACGGAGAGACACCTTTGCACATTAGATTGGAGCATATATTGATAGCATTGGAGCTTCTGTGACGATGACACGATGGAGAAATTCTTCAAGATCATCGACATTATACGACAGTCAGTGCAGATAGATGCCAAGGATAAGCTTGGTAACACACCATTGAACTTGGCTGTGAGACATGGCAAGGACAAGGTCACCGAAGTGCTGCTGAGAAGAGGCGAGATCCTAATTTAGCCAATGCAGAGGGATTGACCCCTATATTTCCAAGGATCAAAATAATCGTTGCATAGTAGAGTCATTTTTTAAGACCATTGACGACATCCAGAAGACGGTGCAGGTCAATGCCTTGGATAATGAGGGCCTGACACCACTGCAACGGGCCGTGGCGGGATTTTTGCCGCATGTGGTCGATCCACTCTTGGATCATGGCGCTGATCTGTCAAAATTCGTTTTCCCCACTGGGAATAACTATGGCGAGTGTTTCAAGTCCGACGACTTTCCTAAATTGGGCTTAGCATCTGAATGTTTGACGGTCGTCGAACGTCTCGAGAGAAGAGGATACAAACTGGATCGAAGCGGCGCCCTGACGATCATGAAATTTTTTGTTAAACACAAGTTATTTGCGGAATCAGCGAAACTTGACAAGTCTTGGTACGACGATAAACAGGTTATAAGGAAAACAAAAAAAATAAAGATCATTCCGAGTCTGTCGCTCTTCAACGTGATCTGCTTGAGCCCCGAAGAGGCAGCGAAACAACTCACATATACAGACTACTACAAGTTCGCGGAAGAAGTGAGTAACTTTGAAAATCTTCTCCCTGAAAGTCATCGAGATGCTTGTGCCTTACATCTGTGCGAGAAAATGTCTAGGAAATTTTTCCTACGCTGGGCGTTGAAATTTCTCTCGAAGCTAACCCGCAATCGACTGCCGATCGAGGGTTGCCGAATGATTATTGAGCCTCTTCTAAACAAAGATTTATGTAATATTACCTTGGCTACTAAAGGTTAAATCTTCAGACATCGATAAGCATAATTTTCAGTATGTTATTAATTTATGATGCACATTTTACATATTATCCAAATGAATAAATATGAGAAAATTGAAATTCATTAATTTGTTTCTGTTTTGATGTAACTTATTGATTATTAACCTCTTGTGTGTACGATACTTATATTTTCATAGCATTCTATTCTTCAAGTAGTTTTCTCATATAAAACCGAATACATATTGTGCCACCTGCATATCGGTCGCACTTTTCTTGAACACACGAATGTACGCTATGCTATTTCATTTTAAAAACTCTTTTGTCACTAGTAAGTGGCCTATTGAACTGTGAAAAATATTTATCGATAAAATCTTAATTTCCAATAAAAAATGGCAGGTTTTTTAAAAGTATCGCCAGCACACCCCGGTCTCTCCTATGCTATTAATAAACTTGATTTTAATTAATAACCCGCAGCCTCAATATTTAATTTGTATCGTCATGTTCAGAAAAAATACCGACTATTTTTGTAAATGCATATCCGTTGAAATGTCAAAATAATCGACGCGATCTATGCTGCTCATCGAGTCGATCATTTTCCAGGCGCGATCGATGGCGAGGCGGCAGTGATTGACGCTTTTCAGGTAGTTGCGAGCGCCGAATACGACGCGGTACGAGAGGACGTCGTCGTGCAGGCGCAGCCTCTCGATCCAAGCGGCTTGGCTGCTAATTTTGTGTAGGCCAGAAAATGAAAATTGGTGAGTCGATTGTTTTTATATAAGGTCAATGTGGGTATTTTTTTATCGCTCATGTCTCTATATTCGCTCAATAATTTAATATTAAAGATCTAATTTAACACAAAAATTTTTTTTTTAAATTGGTCGTATTAAGCTGAGCATGTTTAACATAAATATATTATTTAAATATTGGTATTAAGTTTTGATTTCATGTAAAAATTTAATTCAAACTTGAGCGAAAATAGGGGCTTAATAGAGAGCAAAACTATACTAAAACTTCATTTCTGCGTTCTACGAAAAATCAGGATGTCGGGAACTAATGTAGCCATAATTCGCATGTTTCATAGGTTATCTTCTTCGTATAATACCTGAAATATCATATGTTTCATTTTTGTATTATCATCAAATGGTATAAAATAAAGCCCAGCGAATCCTCTAACCTGTCGGAAATTTACATTAGGATTTTTGAGTATCGGTCCCAGTAATCCTGAAGATAGAATATAGGTGTCGGTTGTGTCAATCATTTGAGATTTACAATTTATTGAAAAAACAGCTCTAAATATGAGATATGTCATCAAGATTGATATTTTAAAATATAGCTTTATAAAAAAATAACAGTTAGTTGTATGTGTAGCAATGATTGAATCAATAAGCCTCGTCTAATTTTCAACTGATTTATTTAATAAATATTTATAATTAAAGTATTCAAAGGAATGTAAAATATACACCTAAATTACAGTGAATAACAAATAGTTAACTGTAGAAGTGATGAATTAATAGTGTAATTATTATAAAGTAATGTTACGGAGTTAAGTTGAAAGATATGATCATTGTATGTTACAGTCTGTTTATCAATCTTACAATCGACAATTATTACTATACTTATTATTGCGGTATGAAAGAATTCTTTATAATTAACTTTTAAATAATTTAGAATTATTTTTTTCTTATAGTCTTTGGGAAATAACTCGTAAGCGGTAGAAGCATACGAGACGATCAAAAGAGCTGCAATCTTATGTTATTTTTGGTTTTTTTTCCAAAATATAGTTCGTGCATATATATCCTACGCAATTACAAAAGAGTAGAAAAATATTTCTGTACATTATTTTGTTTCATCTATTTTGTACCTTATTCAATGTTACTTTTGAGCTTTTGGTACGTCAATAGGCGATTACGATATACTGCGATACATTTTATATATCTATAGAAAATACTCCTTTACAATGAAAAACCTTTGTACAATCTTAGTACTAAATATGTATACATAGATATCAAATATATACTCGTGTTCATAAATTTTCTTCGGTTACCTTTTAACATTAGAATAGAATTTATAATTATATAATAGTACTTGTTATCATCACAAATGGCTGATTGAATAAACATCTCTTAAATTAAGTTTTAGACAAAAAAAAAAAAAGATCCTACTTATGAGCGAGAGTGCGAGTTACACGGTTTGGTTCGTCGAGAAAAATTTCTTTCGGCTTCTCGGTAGCAGCGGTTCTCTCTGCTATTCATTGCGAACGAATCACTCGAGTAAAAAAGGATAACAAAAGAGATACTTCGTTAACATTTTAGACGACGAATTTCCCGACACTACGAAATATGCTCGCAAAGTTTCGCGGCTCATTTTTTTTTGCACTCGAAAGCGCATTCCATGCTTATCATTAATTCTATGTACAGGCAAACGGCGATCTCGCTCGCTCTCGATCCCCAAGCGAGACGCGATTAATTTATAATTTCTTTCCTAATTGACTTTGAATGCTTGTTGCAGCTGCTGCTGCTCATTACATGAATCCAAGCGACTGCAACTGGGTGGCCCTCAGAAACATGAGATACTGGCGCAGAAAGGCGAGCGAGCCGTGGACGCTGCGCATCACCGGCTTGTGCCTGCAGAGCTTGGCGACGATGGCCCTGAGCTCAGGCGACGCCGGCTGCTCGTCCGCGTCGTATTCCTCGTCCGCGTCGTCCTCCTGGTCCTCCTCCTCCTCCTCCTCGTAGTCGTCGTCGCAGGAATTCGACCGGACGTTGTTATTACTTTTCGTCAGGTCTTGGGGCGCCTCGTCATCTCGACGGATCTTGCTGTGGTTGGCTTTGCTGAGATCCAGGGGGGCACCCTCCTGGCTCGAGGCGGTGTCGGTGCTGCTGCTGTTGCTGTCCAGGCTGTTGACGATGACTTTTTTGTTGTAACCGTTGCCGCTGCTCCTCGACTCGGCGTGCTTCACGCCCTCCCTGAGGATATTCAGGGTGAGGGCGAGGACCCGCGAGCACATGTCGGCGCTGCCCAGGAAGACCGGATTCGTGATCTTGGTCAGCTGATCGAGCTCGGCGCGGAGACCCGCGGGACCACCCAACTCGGCCACTCGCGAGTTTGCGGCCTGCATCGCCGCCGCGGCGATGTAGGGATTGAAACTGGCCGGGCCACCGCCGAGGCTGGCCAGCAGGTGTATCGTCGTCACGGCGTCCTCCTGATCGATGTAGGGCATCATCGACAGCGACTTGGGCGACGCAGCGGGGGTCATCGGCAGTTGAGGAGGTGCCGATCCTCCACCGATCGGCGAATCGAAGCGAATCGGGATCGAGTTGCTGAAATTGTACTGCGGCTGCGGCGGCGATGGCAGAGCAGCAGCACCAGCGGATTCTTGCTGCGAGGGTGGCGTCTGCAGCTGCTGCTGCTGCTGTTTCTGCTGCCTAGCCGGCTGAAGCTTGCTCACTACAACGGGCAGCAGGGCGCTCACGATGTCCTGGGGCGGCGGCGTCGTGTCCTCGCTCTTGGTCTTGGGTCCCCGGCGCGTGCCGTACACGTCGACGATGGGCAGCGGATTGGGCGTGCCGTCGGTGTTCAACACGACACTGGGCGTGTGACTGTACTTGCGCAGATGGAGCTTGAGCGAGTGACAGTACTTGGTGGCGTAGTTGCACTCGTTGCAGCGAAACTGATAGACGTCCGAGTGCGACTTGAGATGCGAGTTGAGCATGGACTTGTTGACGCACGAGTAGTCGCACTGCTCGCACTTGAAGGGCTTGGAGCCGAAGTGATTGCGCAGATGGTACTCGAGGTGGTGCTTGTACTCGGTGACGAAGGGACACTTCGGGCAGGTGAGCAGCTTCTCGGGCTTGATGTGCTGACGGCTGTGGTCCCAGAAGTCGACCTTGACGATGGCCACGTACGGGCACTGCTTGCAGCGAAACAGCTTGACCTTGCCGTTGGTCTGGACGCGGGGCACGCGCAGTCCCAGCTCGTCGCCGCTCTGGTCGTACACGGGTATGTCCAGGCTGTTGTTGTTGTTGTTATTGCTGACGATATTGTTGTTGTTGTTGTTGTTGTAGTTGGTCTTCTTGGGGGGCGAAGCCAGATCGTCGGCGGGCCCGAGATTGCCGCTGAGCTGCTCCATCACGAGCTTGGTGAACTCCTGGGGCTCGATGTCGTCGAGATTGCGACAGTGGGTGGACAGATGCTGGCTGAACTCGAGCCTGTTCTGGGTGGCGAACAGGCACAGCTGACACTTGAGGTTGCTCGGCGAGCGCATCGAGTTGGATCCACCGTTGTTACCAGCAGCCGCAGCTCCTGCAATGCTGCTGACACACTTGCTCGGCGTGGCCTTGCGTACTCGGCTGGCTTTCTTACTGCCGCTGTCCAAACTCGCGAGGGCGGCGATGTTCATGTTGGCGGCGGCCGAGTCGTGATGCTCGTCGTTGTACTTCATGTTCTTGGTGAAGTCGAGGCTGGCGGGATTCGAGGCCTGGGACGTGGAGCTGCGCGGCGACAGGGTCAGCAGCGAGTTGGACGACTGCTGGCTCTGGGGCGAGTTCGAGTAGCTGCCGTAGTAATCCGCGATCAGGGCATCGGTCTCGTGGTGTCCATGGTGTTGTGACTGCTTGCCGCCTTCCGACGAATCGGCCATCTGCGAGAATCATGGAAAAAAAGAGAAAAAATAAGTAACGTTTGTTTGTGCCGATCGATATGTGAAGCGTAATAAGCTCAACGCGAAAATCCCCGCTATATAAGCGTAAGTCCTCGAAAAATACGACTAATGATAAAAATGCCCGAATCTCCCCTTCTCTCTCTCTCTCTCGACTTATGTTGCCTGCATAATGATATAAAGCGAGAGAGAGAGAGAGAGGCTTACGCTTCTCGAGATTGGACGATTTTCATCGCGGCCATGCTCGGAATCGCTTATGTAACTGGGGGGTGGCGCCGTCGTGCGAGACCCCCTCGTGCGTACGTACACCGAGGGGGGTTTGCTTTGGAAATATACGAAAAAAATTCGCTTCGTGTAATGGAGGGTGTGCCCGTGGACACGACACACACACGCGCGAATATAGGGTATATGTATGGAGATGATTACTCACCATATGCTCGGTGTGGCTGGCCCAAGCGGGCGGCGACTGCGACGCCAAGGGCTGACTCTGTTGCTCTTTGGCCACCATTTTTACCACCAATGCGCGATGATACTTTTTTATATTTTTAATACAAATATATATTTTTTGGATCCTTGAGATTATATCGCGTAGGACTTCTTGCTTTGATCGAATGATTGAATTGCGTTATACCTGTAAAAACGAGAGACAATTAATGAAAATTATTGTAAAGAGTTGACAATTGCAAAATTATTTTAGTTCAAAATTCGTATAATGTATAATTCCACCTTCAAGTACGGGGAAAGATTTAAAGCATTAGCGCGCAAAACGCACGCGATAATCCCGAGAAAAGGCAGCAAAAAATTGTGTAGAATTCACAAAAAAAAGACTGTCTGTACCGCGAGAGCACAAAAGCTTGTTTCATAAAAAGACCGAAAGAATCGACAGCAAAAAAGAAGAGAAGAAGAAGCAAGAAGCAAGCAAGATCGCAGGTGAAAGAAGCAGATTTTCTCTCTCTGTGTAGTAAGTAGTAGACACGCATGGAAATCGTCGAGATCCGCCTACGCGTACTACCGTATCAAGGAAAAAAAAGGTCCTGTAAATACAGATCGATATTATACGCGCGTAAATACCTATCCTTTCATACCCTATATGTATCGCGTCTTAGCAGACTTTTTGCTGTCATGTGTGTGTGCCTCTGAAAATATCGCACGGAAATGGGGAAAAAAAAGAGAGAGAAAAAGATCGACGTTTATTGTATTATGTAAACTAGCGTGTAGCATAGGCAGTTCTTTGAAAAAGGGTTTTGGGCAACGCGTCATCCTTTCGCTCGTATATGCATACAATTTGTGTGTTCAAGTACTCAACGTTTTCTTCTTTATGTCATTTTTTTTTAGAGAGAAAAAACTGAACGCGCACAAATGTATGACGAACGAGGACAAAAAAGTATGTTTTTCGTTGGAAAGAGAGCGAGCGAGAAAATCGTAAAAAGCCGCAATAATAAAGAAAAAAGAAAAGAGATTCAATGAATGGACAGATGCGCGGAATATCGCACGGACTTTTTACAAACGCATTTACGTACAGGGTGATGCGACGCGAGGCAATTTTTCGAATCGGTTGAAGATCGATTTGTATTGTATATTTTTTAAAATATTCATCGAAGCCCAACGTTGTGTTATCGATTTCAACCATAACGAACTTAACTGGGTTACTCGGCGAATTCTCTAAACTTTGATAAACAAAGAAACTATAATCGTCGTGTTTTTGAAAATAGATATAATTTTTGCGCTGCGAGCGATATTTCCGAGAAACGCCTGGCTCGATAAAATTATGTGCTGCCGCCGGTCAGAGGGAAAAATATTCAGAAGGTGCATAGATTCATAACAAAAAGTTCGGTAATTTAAAAGCGAAAATTAGGCTTACAAATTGAAGGTATCAGCGAGCTACTGTTTCGATAAAGATAAGCTTCTCATTCGATAACTGAACATCGTCTAAACATCTCCAATACTCGATTGGCAATTTTCCGAAGATTTTTACAGACGCGTGTCTATTTAATCGCTTAGAAGATAAAAAAGAAACAGATGTATACTTTTCATGTCTTGCATGGGTCATGTACACAGAGTTCAATCAACCGTTTACCCGAAAATTCAAAATAGATGTAGTGAAAAAAAAGCAGAGCAGCTTGTTGTTTGGGCTATAAAGAGCCTCATCGATTCGATACCAAAGGTCGCGCGAAACTAAATGCGATATATTTATGACTCGGGTTTTGTGAAGGATCGGTGTACACGACGCGTTTTATACACACACACGCGCGTACAGATGTGTCCGCGTGTAAACACACAATAATTTAGCTTCTTCTTTTTTTTCGACCCTCGGGTCATTGATCTGCATTTAAATTTCTCCGATGGGAAATTTGTCGTATTTTCACTGAAACGCGTACCCGGTAAGCGCGACGAATTATTTTATTTCTTTCGAAGATAATAAAATCATAAGGCGCTCGGGGCGAAGAAAAACAACGAAAATCTTGAACCACGAGTTCTTAGAAAGTAACTTTGAAAATATAAACAAACGAATTAGAGATCGGGTAAATAAAAATTGAACGAGTATTTTGAAGGAAAAACGTAATTGAGACTCGACGCGATGAAAACAATACAATGGAGATTAATTAAATTGCTCGATTTCGAAATTGAATTTTTTTCACTAGGGCTAAAACACTGATTATTTCGCGTTGGTATGAAAGCGATAGAAAAAGCAACGTCAAAAATGATAAAAAAATACTTAAAAAAAAACACTTACTTGAAATTAATAACAAAAAAATCAAAATGAGAAGGGCTGATTATATCATACTTTCAGTACGATATAACAAAAAAAAAACAATTGTAGTCGTAGCGCGCGGACACTATCTCTAAAAGCGTCTCAAAAACACGCTACACAACTTTATCGAATTTAAAGAGAAAAGCGTCGAAGAAGGGCCGATGATCGTCTCTATCGTAGGCAACACACGCGACGACCTCTCGACGCTTCGACGATCCCGACACTACTACTACTACCACCTAATAAATCGTCGAACTGCGATCGGGATTCGCCGACGACGACTGTTTTGGCGCTTTTATTATGTGAATGAGAGAGACGGAGGAAAAATCTCTCTCTCTCTCTCTCTCTCGCTAAAAGGCCCCCAACAAAACAATCGGAGAATGTGTTGCGCGCAATGATGATGATGGTACGCGCAGGCACCAACACACATGCACACGCATTTATCATTGTATATTACATATGTGATTGACCGCGGCGCACGAGCTGCGCGCGAGCAAATTAAAATAGCAATGAGAGTGAGTGAGGCAGAGGGTGGGGTGGGGGTAGCCGCGCACGTGTGCTGCTACTGCTACACCGGCGCCGGGCTTGTGTTTCTTTTCGCGAGACGACGACGGCACAGCAGCCGCCGCCGCTGCAGCGCGTCGTCCCATGTAAATACAAGTATATACACGCAATGTCAGGAGTACACGTGATTGGCGTCTGCTGCTGCCACTGCTGTTGTTTTAAATTGATCGAGACGAAGCACGCGATATCTCTGACATTTTAAATACTTTGAAAACTTTCACTCGACGTTAGAATTTTTTTAGGGTAAAAAAGCTTATTGAACTCACTCTTTCTACGTCCAAGTGTTTGACATTTGAAAGCACTATTAAATCACTGTAATAACGCCAATCGCTGCTGGTGGTCAATCGTCTTTTTTGCTTCCCGAAGATTATCAAAAGTCATATCCTCGGAATCACCACTCGTGTGTACAAAAATATATCGTCGTCGTCGTCGTATGCACAAAGAAAACGTCTTGCACCATCCACTAAAAAGGCAATTCTCGTAGGATCACTTCACCACTGCTGCGTACTGGAAGTACATTTGACAGCACTCTCTGGACTATGTATATGGTGAAACTGCACAGCACCGATCGGATGGCACTCGCTTGTTGTACTGCCGCCTCGGGGCTAAGAACTGCGCCTAATCTACCCTACTCCCCTCTACCCGTGTCGCTTATATGTGCTCTCTTCGTCGAGCCGAGGCGCCGAAATCCGCTATGACGCGCGTGCGGATTTTCCTACGCAGAGAGTGGGGGTAGCCCTTCTTTAATGCTCGCCGCGTGTATATGGTTGGGCAAAGCTTCGATACCATTGGTAATCAGACTTTTGCCCGTACTATCCTTCTCTTTGTACTCGACTACTGTGTTATCGAATTGATGTGTGGTTTCAATGTCGCACTCGTCAATTATCACTATTATGGATACCGAGTGGGTCGTTGGATTTACATATCTTTAAAAGGTAATTAATAAAGCTTAATCGATTTCCCATCTTTGAACACTTCTTTTTATCACCTTCACTTATTGAAAGAAAGCGTTAAGAGCGATTCGATGCGGTGTCGTCGAGATTATTGATATCATTTGTTTTCACCCACTTTTCCAAGATTTTGATCAACATGTTTCCACAATTAACACGTTTTACAATTTAAGTTGATCGATGACTTTTTTACGCGTGCCCATGTAGATAACATAAATATCATCAGTCTATAAAGAGCATGTCTCTCTCTACATTACACGACGAAAAAAAAAACAAACACAACAGAGGCTGATGTCTGCCACGCTTTTGACCGCACGCCGCGTTTAACGCGTCTTCATAATGTATTATATTTAAATGAGAGAAAAGATACTTTGAACCCTCGCGCGTGCGATGTACTTGGTAATTTTTGTCGACTCATGTGCGTGTGTGGTATTATAAAGTAAAGAGAGTGTAGGACTCGAGTTCGATACAGCCGGAAGCTGCTCGTTAGATATCGGTACGATTTTTGCAATACTACCATTAACATTTGACTTTTGTAAACCTATCTATACAGTTATGATTCACCAATTATATCTTCTTTTAAACAACAAAAATCTTACTTATAAAACACTCGTTAGGAGAATGAAACAACAAAAAAATTGCTGTAAAAGAGATAGTAATTGATATACTTAGTTTTTCCACGAAAAAATTACTCTTTGACAGCAGCAAATTCTTTTCTTGTCATTTTCTTTCTGGTCTCGATAATTTTAATCAGGATATCATTATTTCTGTAATTGGATCGTCCGATTCAAAATTTTTCTCTGTTATCATTGTATCTTTGATAATTATTCCAGCAAAATTCGTATAACTTTTGACTTTTCTCGAGCTATTTTCGAAAATCGGTCTTTATGCGCATTATACGATTTTTCTAGACATCGTTTTTCGTGTAAATCGCAAATAAAAAAGGTTGAATTCCGCATAATACCACGGATGTACACTCGCATCTTATCAGCCTCGCCAATCCTATACGTGATAGTGTATATTTTTCTCTCTCTCTTATATTCCGTCGAGTTTCGATCGCTTTTTCTCTTTTGTGACCCTTTTCTCTCTCTCTCTCTCTCTCTCTTGAACTCCCATTTTCATCCCTTGCATACATACACACGCACAGACCAATTTCGATTTATTTTTCTTCGTATAATACGTGAGTAAGCTTCATCTCTCTGTGTTTCTCTCTGATGGGTGACAACGACGCGTCGCATTTTTTTCCTCCACCATAGTGTATATATTTTATTATATATACGTAATATACGTAAAAGGCCGGCGCTTTTTGTCTTCTTCGGGGCTTCTCTCTCTCTCGAGTTTTTGCCGCCGCACGTGTTGTATATCTTTTACGCTGTGCCACCCTCGCTTTTCTTTTTCGAGCTATATCTCGAAGCTCGACTCCCCAACTCTCGCGTCGTATCTCGCGAGGAGCTCTTCTAGCTTTTTCGCTCCTTCTAACTTGGAATTATTTTGTTTGTTCGTACCAAGGGATAGAGAACGTATGCGTCCCAAGGCTTGAGCTGCGAAAATGACTTCTCGCTCGATCCTTATCTCGTTCGAGCTTTTAGAAAAAAATCGAATTTATTTTTGGCAATTATAAAAGCTCTCGATTTAATGTCCTCTTTACGATTCGTGCTTGCTCGATAATAATAAAAGTGCGACGGTGCCCTAACAATGCCGCGGCGTTTAATGGAAATTCATTTAGCGATCAATCGTCGGTCGACGCGCACAAAAGGTGGCACACGCTTTAACACGCCTACACACCCTGGCGTATTCACGCTGTATATATATGCGCTTGCGCTGGTGTTTATTGGGCTCGCAGCTTACTTTTCCCATTCTTTGTCATAGTGTAGTAGTAGTCGAAATTTCGTCCTTCGCATACGGCGCGTTTTGGCTCGCAGCAACGGCGGTACATGTTAATATATATATTTTTTTCTCTCTCTTTATATCCGAATGGCACATTATATTTATTCTCTACTTTTCATCACCACCTACTCTTTAGTTCCACTATATACTCGCTCCTTTTTTCTTCACCCCGGACACATGCGAGGTTTTCGCGCATATCCGACACCCCATCGATGCGCACGCGCACATAAACAGTTGTTGCCAAAAACTTGGTCCAGCCCCCCATGCGCGTTGTTGCATTTTTTTCTCTTTGATAATGCAGAGAGTTCAGGCCCGGCCTAAATAGAGGGAAGAGGCGATTTTGAATTATGGCCACGCAGAAGTCGATATTTTTTCCGCAAAAGCGGAAGAGAAGTGTATATATATTTTCTTCTTCTTTGCCGTATCGCGCAGTTAATGATTAATGGCCGATCGCTTGTGAGAAATGTCTTTCTTAAGGCTTTGCACATAGATCAACGAACACCTCTTGCAAATTATCATGATGAATGAGGTCGGGATTGTATGCCCTTAATGGAGGATGATACGGTGCGTTCGAATAATAATTGTAAAGCCAAAAGCTCTGACGTTTTCATCGAGAGGATCGCTCGTACTTTTGGAGTTTTGTGATGTTTCTATCGGTACGCGTAACGACAGAAATAAAAATCGAAATCATCGGTATGGAGTTAGTGTGAAATTTGTAAGATATGTTACAACTGATTAAAAAAGATAAATTGAGAGCTTAGATAGAACATTTAAAGCAAGTAAAGCATGTTTAGTTTAGTTTATGATAACATAATGATAACAGATAGTAGCATTAGATATTAACTTTTTGATTTAAGAAAAAGTGATCTTAATTTATTATTACTCATTATGTTTTTAATTGCGTTTCAATAATTAATGGTTTCACCGTCAGGTATGACTCAACAAATATGCTCTGATGTTACTAAATGTAATATTAACTTTCATAACATTATCTTAAAACTATTATTAGTTTAGATTTTTACTGGTTTAAATAAATAAAAATAAACAAAATAAGTAAATGAATAAATGAATGAAATGAATAAAAGGGTTGACGTTATAAATTTTGTTTTTAGAATTTTATTTCATCATTTTGCGCTAATGCTCCTGACTCATTTCAGCAATTTTACAAAACAAGAATTTATCAAAATATCTATGATATGAAAAAATAATTTTAAAATTTAATCGGATTAAAGATTCACTTGAATTTTCAAATTATTTTTTTATATAATAGATAGCATGAATAAATTATTCTTTGTATTCTGGTCGCAGGACGATGAACGTTTTATCTCTCGAACATTTTTGATATTTTTAATAGTTCCAAGATAATTTTAGTCGAATGCTTCATGAAAATTAATATTTTTATTTGCCTAAAGAATTATTTATGACGCAGCACGATGAATATTCAATTGACGTATTAGATAATCAAAGATTAGATGGTTCTAATAAAATCATTACTGGAACTATAAGTACCATAAAAAATGAATTTTTAATAATGGAAATTAGATACACGCACACAATCTTTGGGAAAATCACTAGTAGTAATTGAAAAATTTAAAATGAATACTTTTTTCAAATACATTTCAATTTATTACTATTTTATACATAAATTGGAGGACAAATTTTGCAAGTACAATAATCAAATACAGAAACAGATTGAATGTACAATTATAGATCGGCAAAGCTACATATCAAAATGTGCGTGACGTGTTACTGAGGACAGGTTAAAAATTAAACAAGCACTGGCAGAAGCTCTGAACGTAATTAATTGCCTAATTACGGAAAAAACTGCCCACTTAATATCATTTTTTTTGTTATAATTATGTTACGAACAATAAGCGCATTTTAAATGACTTGAAAATGGCAATGAAGCAAAAAATTGAGTCCAATTTTTAAACACTTTAAATACGATAATACTATTTTAAGCATCTACCGCTAAATGGCGAGTACCATTATTTGTAAATCTACAAATGGAAAAGTCCAGTTAATTTTATAAGTCATCAGTTTGGGAAAAGTCTAACACAATTTCTATCGTAATTTTCAATATCACAAGATGATCGTACAATAGCAAAAAAAGAAAAGCGGAGCATCATGTGGACATAAAAGGGTTTGCTTGTTTACGTTTTTAGCCCGCGCTTTTTTCGTTGGCTAAAAACCAGCCATAAAGTATTGAACATTTACGCAACGGAAACGCACAATCGAGCATGCAAAATCCCTCTACCCATCAGTAAAAAAGTATCTGCTTTAAAAAAAAAAAAAAAAGAACTCGTTGATACAAAAAAAGTATCGAGAAAAAACTCATTCACTAAATTCTCGTAAAAGATCGAATAGGTACACCGATTCACAAAAAGAAGCAACCCGTAAGTAAAGTATGAAATCTTTTTTTATCCGCTCGGCCACCAATGGAAGGCGCGCATGCCATATAATGTATACGTACGGTCTAGGAGTTCGATTGCAAAAAAAATATTTTCCTAACTATTATTTTCGAATCGAAACGAAGGAAAAAAAGGGGTTACGATCTCGGCTCTGTCCGTCCGCAGCTGTTCCCCTGCGTTGTAATAACCCTTGGCTTACGCCCACGCACAGCGCAAATCTTTTTCGCTTGAGTGATCCATCAGGTATAGTGTATAGCTGATTTAAAAAGCCTGCGTATACATATGCATGGCGAATGTACGCGTCAATACGATGCTCATAATGG